AAAAAAAAAAAAAAAAAAAAAAAAAAAAAAAAAAAAAAAAAAAAAAAAAAAAAGTAAAGATCTACCATGAGTTAAAGTGGTAATTACTAAGTATAAGGATTAGGAAAAATAACTTAAGATTGGATTGAAATGAAGTATGCATTTAGGCAAAGGTATGTATATATATATATATATATATATATATATATATATATATATATATAAGATGTTATGACAATGAAGATGTAGTCAGTGGACATCAAAAACAATTTAGCTTGCTCAGTGTTTCTTTTATGGGGCACAGCTGAGTTGCCTAAGCCTGAACTTCTGGTGTCATTTGAAATGCTACAGGTTATCTGAGATAGCCATGCAGGTCTGGCATATGTGTTCACTGGGACATCCATTCCCTTCTGCCTCACCTGTATTTTACAGTCCAAAGGTATCTTGCCCTGAAACAAATTACACTGGATATCTGTGTGGTTGGTCAGCTGAATCACTCATATGATTCCATGGCTTCTACTAACTACATTAAGAGGATTTTATACACCTATCACACTGAGTTTAAATTTCCTACTGTGTCCTTCATGTAGTCTAAAGGCTTGCAGACCTTTTGACATCTAAAAACTGAAATCTGTTGAATAAAAGTAGGGAAACTTCGTGAACACTGCTGCTTGAGCAAAATAAATTGGAATGTGAGTTCTTGAACTGCAGTACATCCATCTAGCAGCAGGAGAGATATGATCCCATGCTGTGTGTAACTGGATGATTCCCTCTCAAGATAATGAAAGTTGAATAGGAAATGCAACGGGAGGAAATAAAGATATTGTAAGTTGAAAGACATGTGATGATTTAGGTGTAATGAATTGATACCTAACCAAGAAATAGATGAAGAACTGCTGTAGAGAAAAGAAAAAAATTAAACCTCATTAAACACAACTCACAACTTCCAGTGCAATAATTTGCTGACAGTTTAGCAAGAAAATACTATATGACTATTATCAACCTTAAATTCTAGCATGGGCTGCCTAAATACTCCATCCATCAATGTTTTTATGGCAAATTGGATGCGCTTCTGAACAGTCAAATGCCTAACATCAAAACTGTATCATGAATCTTACCTCTGATTTATCAATGTCTGTAAGTTTCTGAAGGGAGGGTGTCAAAAGGATGAAGCCAGGCTCTTCTTGATGGTGCCAAGCAATAGGACAAGAGGAAACGGATGCATGGGAAGTTCCATCTAAATATGATGAAGAATTTCTTTACTATGTGGGTGGCCATGCAGTGGAACAGATTGTCCAGAAAAATTGTGGAGTCTCCGTCACTGGAGATACTCAAGAACTGTCTTGATGCAATCCTATGCCATGCTCTAGGATGAATCTGCTTGAGCAGGGATGTTGGACCAGGCAACCCTCTGTGGTCCTTTCCAACCTGACACATTCTGTGATTCAGCTCAGATCTTTTCCTACTGGAGTACTGAAGAATTTGACAAACTTTTAACTCCCATTTCAATACCCAGTGAATGATAATTTTTTCATTATTCTTGCATTCATTTCAGTTAGTGTTTTTAGGACCTACATCAGCCAGTTACAGTCTTTCTCAGTATCTGCATATACATGAGTGTCTGGGCTTATGACAGTAAGCTTTCAATAGTGATTAGAGATCTCATATCCTTAATGCTGATTTTGGTGCTTCAGTGAGAGGGCTGTTCTAGCTGATCTCGCAAGATCTGTGCAAGAGCCATGAAGGATACTGGTAAGACTGCTGGAGACTGCAATCATCTTTATATTTACTGTTCACTGCTTGAATCCAGTGGCATTGAGAGGGATTGCTCTGTGGTCAGAGCACTTCATAGCACAATGCTGTTATTAAACCTTAGACTAAGTTGGATTTGTTAAGTACAGGAAAATTCCGGGTATACCTAGGACTGGCTGGTGCAGAGGAGGCTCATGGCTGTGTGCCTGCCTGTTTCAGTTTGTCTTTTCTTCCTGTGTTGGTTGTGTCTCAGGATCAAACTGTGTAGGTAAAATGATCCAAAGTGTGACCTGCTGCAAGGGTGCCTAGTCTTGTCAGGCATTTGTGAATTTTGGCAGCTTAGAAGGGATATGTAGAGTGAGACCTTGGGAGAGCACATAATTGAAGCTGTTGTAGGAAAAATGTAAATGTCAGACACCAGCCACTACTTCTAGTTGGTTTTTGTTTTTAATGTTTGCATTGGATTTCACAAAGATAAATACAAAGTCCAACACTTGGGCTGGAGTAATCCAATTAGTTGTAAGGAAGATAGAAATCCTTCTTCTTCTGTACCAAGTCCTGGGACATACAAAAAAAGGAAAAAGATCTGTAATTTACATGAGTATAGGATTGGGAATAAAGTGGGGTTTATAAATTAGGAAAGTAACAAATTATCTCTTGTCAGGTTTTTCTTCTCTTATCTGACTACAGGAAACTTACTGCCATAAATTTAAAGTCCTTTTTTTTGAAAGCCCTCTGACATCCACTTTTTAGGTGCCTACTAAAATTTTCGTGTATGATAATAACTAACTGCATTTTAAAAGAAAAGATCTGTCTGGTTATTTATTAGCATTAGTGGGATGCAGATCCTCCCAAATTGCAGATTGTGGCCCAGGAAGCCAACCATATCCTGAACTGCATGAGAAGAAACATGGCCAGCAGGTCAAGGAAAGTGATTCTACCCCTCTGCTCACATGAGACCCCACATTCTGTGCTGTATACAGGTCTGGGGTCCCTAGCATAAGGACATGGAACTGCTGGAGCGAGTCCAGAGGAGGGTCACAAAGTTGCTAAGGGGACTCGAGCGCCTTCCCTGTGAAGGCAGGGTGAGAGACTTGGGGTTGTTAAGCCCAGAGAAGAGAAGGTTTCATGGAGACCTCACAGCAACTTTCCAGTGTCTGAAGGGGGGCCTACAGGGAAGCCAGAGAGGGACTTGTTGACAGGTACTGTAGTGACAGGTTTTACACCCCAGTCCAACTTTACTGGATGTTACACTTTCATTTTAGGCTTTAAGAGATTTTGCTCACACAAATTCTTGCAATGCCTTTGGTTTTTTGAGACTTTTGAGTTCACGTCTGGAGAAAAACCTACACACCCTTCTCTAAGAGATTTCTTTTAATTTGGTGAGAAAATAGGCACTTTGGCAAAAATCCTTTTACAGAGATAACATGCAAACCAAGGAAAAGCATTTCACTATTAACACCTAGTACAAAGAATGCAACTCACAAAAGCATTACAGCAGATTACTAGGACTAGCAAGCATTGCTATGGAGTAGGGGACCTTTGTTACACCCAGCACCCACAAACTCCATACAACTTAAATGAAATACCCACAAATTAAGTGAAAGACAGAAAATAGGTTTTTAAGTTGCCCACAAGACTAAAGGAAGAGATATTAAGAGAAGAAAGAATAAAGAGAGGAGAGAGAAATATAGTTACTACTAAGAAGGTCACATCTTGCCAGCTTCAAGGACAACAGGTGAGATGGAGACCTCGTGTGTGTCTGTGTATAGACTCTGGCCATTGCGGCTACTCCCTCTAGGTGGGGCCTTTGACTCACTGCCCCTCACTGTCCCCCCAGCCAAAGTGAGGGGTGCCACAGCCACTCAAAGGCTCCAGGTGGTGTGGTGTGGGTGGGCCATCAGGCAGACCTTGTTGACTGACAACCCAGCGACACCTCTTTCCCTGCCATGTGCTCTTGGCCGTGATGGCTGCAGGCCTAGGCCTAGCCCTTCCTCCTCCCCCCTTCCCCCACACAGACAACATGACTTATTTGACCCATCAGTCAAGCTACTCGGTGAGATACGAATCTGATCTCTGACAACAGGACAGGGAGTAATGGGGTCAAACTGAAAGAGGGGAAATTGAGGTTAGAAATGTGGAAGAAAGTAAGAAAGTCTTTACTGCGAAGGTGGTGAGGCACTGGAAAAAGCTGCCCAGAGAGAATGTGGATGCCCCACCCCTGAAGTGTTCAAGGCTGGGTTGGATGAGGGTTTGAGCAATCTGGTCTAGTGAAAGGGGCCCCCCCCATGGCAAGGGGATTGAAACTAGATGATCTTCAAAGTCCCTTCCAACCCAAACCATTCTGTGATTCCAAGTCCCCAGTATTCTTCACATTATAGCACAGTATGAATATATGTATTTAGATACTTTATAACAAGTGTAAGTAATTACATTATACTTTTGTAAATAAGCATACAAAAAAGCAACGAAAGCACGACTATGAAGTGCAGGTTATACCTTTAGAATAAAGGAAATTTGCAAATTTCAAAAGTTGATTTTCAAGGTCAAGGACAGGTATTGGACTTCAATAAACATTCTTTCTATGTTAGACCTATCACAGGTGCAGTTTTCCTTCATAGAGAGCCCTGCCTTTCATAACCTAGTATTAGGTACCATTACATATTTCCATTCTGCTTTGGGTTGTGGAAATATTTATATATACCAAGAAATATGGTACCTTTTCAATAAATGATGAGCAATAATGCACACATGTTGGATTACAAGGAGCTTCAAGGAAACTGTTGTCTCATTTATGTGGGTTTGCACTTGTAGTGCCACAAGCCAGTTAGCTTTGAGTTTATTTGCATTTGAGTGCGTGAAAGTAACCATACTGTTTTAAAGAAATAATACCATTTTTAATGTATTCTCATTTTTTTCTCTCATTTACTCAGTGACAGGCTTATAAGTGGAGTAATATATGCAGCCCAAGTTACTTCCTTAAAAGTGCTTTTCTTCAAAGTGCATGGTTTGCTCACACTTACTTTATTTAGCAAGTAGGACCTAAATGGGTAATTTTTATTTTTTTTTTTGCGTATTTTTTTAATTTCCATTCCTTTGTTGGGAACTAAGACAGATCCAGAAATCTCATTTCTCCTTATGGGTTGAGTTGGGATACACTGCTGCTGTTGCTCCTGTCATTGATCTTGCTACAGCCACCTGAGATTGAACAGGATGGTTCCTCAGAGCTCTCTGAAATAGAACCATAAGACATTCTTTACTCCCTAAATGCTTCTGTTGTATTTGTTTATTGTGGATCTCTTTTCTTCCTTGCGAAGCAAAGATATGCTCTGCTATCCCTTTCTGCTCTGCATTTTTCTCAAGGTCCCTTTATTAGAGGAGGTTGTAGCTTTCTTTTCTGTTCTTCCTAATTCCCCAAAACAATTGTGACTACACATTTTTTTGGAATTGAGAGATTGTGCTATTGCAAAAGCTGCTTTCAGGACGCATGTATGTTCTCCCTTTCCTGAATGGATAAGTGGAATTTTTCAAAAACTTACAAGACATATTTCTGTACGTGTATTTTCACTTTGTGTTGGCAAACACTGAGAATGTGTCTTTTTCTCTGCCTTGTACAGGTAGGGACACTGTAGGTTCTTTTGGGAATTACCAGCTGCTTTCATTTGTATTTGAATGTTCAAAGTGTATTAAATAGCACTCAAAAAAGTTCGTTGTCAATATTTTTTTCCAACACTCAGATAAAAGAAGGAATTGTGTGGAAGAGATTTATGTGTCTATTTTGCAGTATTTCTTAAGGATTTTTATAGATATGTGATATAGATATATAGATGTATGTGTTTGTATGTATTTATATATGTATGTTTATGGTTGACATATACCTAAATAAGTAACCAGTACTTTTTACTTTTTAGCATTTTCATGAAACACTTGGAATCCAACCTGGAGAAGCACATTTATTTCTAAATGGCCTTCCTATTGACTTGGATTTTCATGATCCTTTTAGGTAAGATGGTACATCTTGTTTGAAGATTACAGAATTACTAATAGTACTGGAGAAGTTGTGCTCATGTCGATAATCTCATCTGTTGCATTCTGGGGGCCAGGAAATGCTCCAGGAGAAAGCACTGGTTTACAGTGGTTTTGCTTTGAATGTGAACATTGCATAAGTAGTTGAAAACAGCATTTTCTCTTGGAATATTTTTTTCTAATTCACTTAAGATTTTACAACTTGCCATGTAAAATTAATTTGGAAATGGAAAGAATTCAATCAATAGCTGTAAAAAAACCACATTTTACAGTAAATTAAATGTTTTCATATCCCTATTTCTTAAAAATTAAAAAGAAAAAATTGCAGGCATGAAATTTAGATATCCAACACCCTGGGTTACTTTTGGCATGCTTGTGAGTCTCTATCTGACTACCTTTTATGATAACTTCTGTTAATGCAAAGACATTATGCTTTTTAGTATAAGAAGTCTTTTCTAGTGTGTGCAATTATAGTATAATTATTTTGGGTGTGACTTGCCTCTTTTATGCAAGCACTCAAACCACAAAGATTTTCCCTTGCATTCTTCTCTGTTGTCAATGACAACAAACAGGACTACTTCAAAATTGTCTGTGGTGGCCTGCAAACTGTTAGTAAATCTACTGATTTGTCACAATCTATTATTATTTATTTTCAAATTTTAACTCAAAATGTCTTATTTTCTTCTCCATAAAGATTCTTAAACTTTCTTGGGCTTAGTATTTGTGCTTGTAATTTGTACTTATTTTTTTTGTCAGCCAGAGTTTTGAGATGGAGTCACTTGCATCTTTTTTTTGTAATGGTGTTTTTTAATGATAGTGATAGTGCTAATGATATTTTAGAAGAAACCTTTAAGAATAGAGAATACTCAAAATGAAGTAGGATAGAAATGAAGACAGTTGTAAAATCTTGCAGGCTGTGTTCTACAGTGGAGTACTTCAGGGTTTGTTTCCTTCCCAAATTTGAACTTTCAGATTGTGACAGATGGTCCAGAGTCCCACTGGGTTTTCTGCAAAACTTTAGAGGTGTGACCATGTGTATATTTCTAAGACTATTAATATGAGGATTATTTTTAGTATGAAAAGTAGTTTTTATGTAATGATGAGTTCTGTGTAGACATGTATTTTATCTTCCTGAAAAAGTATCTTAGAGACTCTTAAACTGGAAGGAAAAGTGATGCACGGCCTTCATGAACTTGGAATCAAAGAGGAGACCCTGAGTAAATTTATGAGGTTGCATATACATCCTACAGATAACAGTTATGCGCTAGATATTCGTCACTCTTCGATAGTAGTAAGTAATATAGAAATTATTTCTTTAAATATTACATATTTGATAATTCTATGTATGAAATAGTTTATCTTTTTCGATAGTCTAATTGAAATACTAGTCCTAAGACCATATATTGGTAAGCAGTTTAAAATATTTTTGAGGATGATATTCCTTCAATGTATTTTAGGAGTCATTCACTCTAGCTTATACATTATTAAAACTTAAGGATGTAGGTTGTTTAGAAGAAAAGAAAAATGTATCTGAGAGTAGTTGCGCACTTACAGCAATAGAAATTGACTTTAGAGCGATTGATCTAGCCATATAATACTGTGTAGTATCCTCCTATTATGCAAGATTTCTAAGTGTAGTTTATAAGTATGATAAGTGAATTGTGGACCACATAAATATTTTGTTTCTAATTGTCCAATGACTGGGCTTTTTACCCTTCTTCAAAATATATGCAGGTTTCATTACAAAGGTTAAATACTAGTGGAAAAGGCACTAATTTTTTTTTTTTTTACCTGAAAGAGCCATATTTCACTCTTCTGCTTGCCAAGGCTTGCAGAGAAAGGACTAGAAGAACAAACTGACCACATATGGATTGGTTATTTTGGTATATCCAAACTGCTGTTACTGCACATTATAGATAAATACTATATTTGGATTACAAGGTTGTTATGCTGCGTTACACAAATCTGTGTGATACGTTGTTATGACGTTTGTATTGTGAAAGTAGTTTCCCACTTGAAAAAATTATTTTATTCACATCCTTATGCCTAGTACAAATTGTCCTTTTTCCTTTTCCATCCATTAATAGTTTCATGTGTACTGCAAATGAAAACAGTTTGAAAAAAAAAAAGATGAATTTTAGAAGCAACTTTCTGTTAACTATTTCAAAAAAAAAGGGAAGACATTTTATTCTTTGCAGTCTTTCCACGTTTTAAAATATTATTATTTTTGCCCAGATATTTTCCTCAGTGTTCAGTGTGTTTTTTAAGTGACTGCATTTTTTGTTTCAGTGGATTAATAACATAGAACAAGATCACAGCTATAGCACGTGGCCTGAAAGCTATCAGGAACTGCTAAGACCCACACTTCCTGGAGTTCTGCAGCAGATTAGACGCAATTTACATAATTTGGTAAGTTTGGAGAACTTAATATTTTTGTATAATGTATCTATTAATACGTGGACAGACAGTTTATTAAAAAATACGCATCCTGGATTTATTGTTAAGATTTGTTTTCTGTGTGGATCTGCTACTAATAGTGAAAAGTGCTTTGTCTAGTGAGTCATATGTGGTTATTGTCTGATTTCCAGAAGTGGATTTGGGCACAGCTTAGTCAGGAGTTTTTGTGTTCCTTTCCATCTACACATAGATAATTCAGTAATATCGAAGAATTTTCTTCATAGAGCACTACTGAGGGAACTGTCCTTGGTTTAGAGATGGTGAACTGAGGTACAAAAAGATTTGCATTTTAAAGCATACCAATTATGAATGTCTTGTAGCCTAATTTTTCCTTTGCACATAGCATTCTGTATCCCTTAGTAAGTTAAGGAAGCAGCTATTGCTGATTTAAATTAAAATTTAAATTACAAAAGGTAATTACGTGAACTATGGAATCATAAAATGATTTGGGTTAGAGAGGACCATTAAAGTTTATCTAGTTCAGGCTCCTGCAGTGACCAGTGACATCTTCAACAAGACCAGGTTGCTCAGGACCTCATCCAACCTGTCCTTTAACAGTTTAAATGGTGGTCCCTCCACAGCTTCTCTGGGCGACCGGTTCCCCTGTGACACCTTTGGTGCCTCACCACCTCATTTCTTCGTATTCAGTATAAATCTGCCCTCTTTTAGTTCAGAACTTACCTCTTGTTCTGTCACTACAGTGTCGCTACTACTGGTAAAAAGCCTCTGTCCATTTTTCTTGTAAGTCTTCCTGTACTCATAGGAGAGGTGCTCTAGCACCTTTCCCAAAACTCTGTCTTTTAATTGAAGTTTTAAGCCAATATATTCTATCTGGTTTTCTTTCATTTTCACAAGAGAAGAGAGTCAGTTAAAAGAACTAAAAGAAAAATAATATTTTTTAAAATAAATATAAAGTTCGTTAATATAAACAAAGTAGTGGCACAGAGTCTTTCAAATGAGAAAAGCAGCATCACTTAGTTTGAAGTTCTGTAAATGGTTAAATCCTGTTTTCAGCATTTGATCCAAAGTCATTAATTCTGAAGTTATTTTCATTTTTGCTCTTAATGCTTTCTTACAATAAATGCTCTAAGAATTGAAAACAGTTGGGGCATACAGCTCCTTTGGAAATTAATGTTCTTATCTTAGATTTTATGTGTGGGAAAAAAAAAAAAACCACACCTCAAGAATAAATGTTGACTGCATGATATGTTTTCTCTTCTTAGGTACTTTTTGTTGATCCTGTCCAAGAAGATACAGTTGATTATATGAAAGTGGCAGAGTTATTCCACCATTATAATGTACCACTTAGGTAAGGAAAACTGAAAATCTTGAGGAAGAGTCATTAAATAAGGTTGCTTTCTGTTTTTTCTTCTTCATCTTCATCATCTGTTTTGTTAGGCAAAGATGTGAATTCAAATTAAGTCCAATGCAACCACATTCTAATAAGACACATTGGTTACCCACTTGTGTCAAGCTTACTCAGGTATTAAGTCTTCTTAAGCAAATAGACTGCAAGGGATAACGTACTTGAGTGTGTGTAAAATGAACTGCAAAAGTCTGATAAAAATTTATTTTGTCAAATAGTCCCACTGGATGCCCTTGTGGAGTTGCATTGTAATCAAAATATTAGTAAGTAAAACATACTTTGAGAGAATTTAATTCAGTTGTTTCAGTTGAGGTTGCTTTACTTAATTCTGGTTTTATATAAAAACTTTAAAGACTAAAGTGAGATTTTCCTCATCAAGTTTTGAATTTCTAAAGATTAGTTGTCTGGGTCTGAACTAGTTAGCATTTGAGATAAAGATACTTTTGTGGAACAATCTGGTTAATCTGAGATGCCTCCTTTTAAGAAAAAATGTAACTGTTTATTTCCACAGTTTACAAATGAAGGGTATCCAAGGTTCAGCAAAATGGATTCCGGGTTAAATATTTAAAATCTTCTCGTGAAATGCTTTTTATTTCCTCAATAAATTACACGGTTTTCCTTTTTCATTAAAATTTTACTGTCTCTGATAATTGTTTTGGTTTTTTTTAATGTTTTATTTTTCAATTACAAAAGCATAATGCAGGACAAATATTAGTTATATGTGCATTTTGTCACTACCTGGGAGACAATAC